ATATCGCGTCACGGTGGTATACCCGACTGTGGAGATGGTTTATTTCCCCCTACTGTAAGTATGTTTGTATACTGTCAAACATATTTAATTCATACAATTGTATATAACCGTAATTTGTGCAGAAGAATTTTTTGCAAAAAGACAAGACAAACTTATAATAACGATAATGTATTGTATTGAAAATGTAATGCGTATACAATTTTGAACATAATAACCTGAATTATTTAGATGGAATACATTAAAGATAGAATTCTGACTAACTGTAATCAGTCAATCAATCAATCATCAATAATTACGTGAATATTAATGCGAATAATACCTCAATCAAACTCTTCAAAATTACTAAACTCATTTTTATAATTGAGATAACTTGTTGTCATAGTGATAACAAACTCAGTTTTCATAAACTATTTCGTGAGACAATTTTGGAATACTTATATGTATCATCGTGCTATAGGACCAATTGGTCGTATGATCAAGGACGTTTTGTCTCGAGACTTTGTCTTATATTTAAAATCTTTCTCGTAGTTTTCTGTTAAATTGCTGGACTTTATATACACGTAATGTTCTGTGTCCGATTCGTCGAGTCAGTAATTGTCTTAGAACTTGTATATATGACGTGATATCAAAGAGGAAAATCAGACCAGTTTCCTGTACTATGAATACAACCACTAAGGCTGGATTCGACTGCAATTTACGGGGTTCTGCCGCACAAGTTTAAACCATCGGGCAGTTTTTGGTAAACATGACATCATCTCCGGAACTTTACGCACAAAGTTGGCCGACAAAGTTGGCCCATTTCTAGGACATTGTTCTAGATATCGACCCATTTGGGCTGTACATCACGTATACCTTTGCTATTTAAGTAACGCCTGTGAACACACCTCACAAATAGGGAGATATTTCAGATAAACTGTACACTGTACTATCAGGTGGCGATGGTACCTCACTGTTATATGCCTCGGAATGAGGGTACTACCTAACGCAATAAATGGCCTGGTTAGACAGATGAATGTTTTCAAGGGAGCCAAAACCATAGAAAAAATATGAAGGTTGCTGGAAGACCAATTATGGTTAAATGTGTGTAGGATCCCATATGAATTCGAGTCCACTGGATGAGGCAGTTTCAATTGTTGTGTCGATGAAATAATGGTAGTTAGTGGTCACGTGATGATATTTTCATATCCACTTTTACATCCTTTCACCCTGACAAGGCAAACAACATAAAGCAATCCTACAATGTTCCACTTGTTAGTAAATGTAATCCGGGTCTGGCAATGAAGTTATCAAGTCATTGTAGAATAGCTGCAACATATATGTAAGTGTTCGTAATCAATGACTGTGTGTGAATTGAGATGTATACAACATAATCGGATCAGCTAATGGAAATATGGCTACCAAGGATTGCATATTACAAGCGATAATGCAACAATTCGAATGTTGATTGCTGACAACTTCCTTCCGTAGATGCTATTGTTGGGATTGGTGCATGATCTTTATTTGGACTACCGGTTGATGGTTGGTTGTGACCTGATTCGTTCAGGGGGGCCTCTTGGAGGGAGGCATATTATTGAAAGGTTCTGACTCCTGAGATTGGAGATCATTCCACAGCCTCAGCTACGTGATATACATAAATCATTCGAACTCTGCATCTTTACGGTTGGCCATATTGTTTTTTGACTGCACAGACTCTTGAGAATCCGGGATAACCTCAATCAGACTTTCCTTCTCCATGATAAGAGTTCGGCACAGCGAACAACTTCTCGATCAGATCAGTTCAGATTTAACTGACAATACTATGTACGCTAACTTCTATGCCTGAATACTAACCAGTGGCTTGTGTATTCTCAACCATGTACAATTGGTATACGGCCAAGACTTCGTAATAAAATTGCAATTATCAGATAGTATCGACATATGGTAACTGGTTCATAGTTCAATATTAAATAATAACGCCAGAAACGGGTTTGTCTATGATATATGAGTAAAGTTAAGTAGTTGTAGTTTTTGTTTGTTTGTTTGTTAAATTTATTTATAAAAACAGGATAGTTCCACAAGAACTCTCTTAATAATAGATCAAAATACATTATAAAATGTATCTGATACTGAAACATAAAAAAATCAATACTATACTTACACGAACACAACCTCACTTGTCATGTTGTCATACATTTGACATGATCACTATTTGATGTTTGGAGTGGTCATGGAGCTACGCTTAATGATGAATATGTGTGTAGCTTTGAGACCAAATAACGAAAAATAGAGTTCCCTGACAAAATATGGGAATATGTGTGATCATTTGCGCTACATGTATGAACATACGTCTAATACCATCGTGACGAGTGCATCGGGTAGAAATCAATGGTACGAACAAAGAATACAATATGCGTGTTAAGCACAAATCCAGGAAACATGTAGGTGTAACGAATCTTCATAATATGCTTGAGATCAATTCCAATTTTATGTAGCACCAGAAGCTAATATATTATGAAATATAAATAAATTGTAAGGTGTGAATTCAAAAGTAGACCTAAAATTATAAGATAAATTAAATCCAAATGTCATTATTGAACGTCAATAGTGGCAATAAAACTCGTTTACATCACAACCTGACCACCATTTTGAGACTCTTTGGCAATAAACTTGTCAGTGTATTATTTTTGCATCTGTAATATTGAGAATCGGGACTATGCGGGTAAGGTGGAATTAAACAGTGGGTCATAGTTTTGATGAAGACATTTATAGACGGCATACAATATTTGCCTCGCTGTATTGACCAAACAGCTAAGCCCAGATACAAACGTACGTACAATTACGGTCTAGAATGGAATGCCAAAATATCTTCTTCAATAGTAAAAGACTACTAGTATAGTGCGAGTCCAGTTTTTGTGATGAATGAGGCTCGAAATGTCAGGTATGATTGGACAATGTTTTATATGAGTCCAACAGCAAATATAGGTACAATAGTGAGTTTTACCACCTTCGCCCAGCCATGAATGCTTCCACTACTGATGACGTGGCAGGTGTTAATATGTAAC